TACAATAATTGCCGGACCAATGCTTGGTCTGGATATGAAAATACGGACTTCATCAGTACAGAAAACAGGCCATATAACATACATTATATGCTCTTGATGTTCCTTTGAACCCACTATGAAGGCTATTTTAATCATCAGCTATCCAAAAATGAATTTTATTGCACACTAGCTCTAATATTTGAAAAATCCACAGGGGCCAAACTGCGAAACTACACACCTAACTGTGGAGTGCTACCGAAGAGACATTAATTGTCGAAATCCGGATATGGTGTACAATTTTTTGCACCTCATGTTTGCGGTATACCATCTTTTCTGCAAGTTTATTGTTTTTCTGTTTGGTATTAAATTAATAATTAAGATCTATTTTGTTACATCTGGTGATCCGTTTATTTGGCAATCGCCATGGCAGTCAGCAGGGTTTAAGAATATCCGTTGCTCGACCTGCTAGTCAAATGCGTTTTGTCGATATATATATATTTACAAGAACACACAAATATTTGAAAATGAATTTGGAGTGCATAACTTTTTAAATTGTGATTCAAAGTATATACATAGGTTTTTAATAAATTAAATCTTAGTGGGGAACAGCTAGTGTAAGATGTTTTCTGAAAGTGTTGACTGTTGTGACAGTGACTGTATGGGTTGGTAATAAATTCAACTGAGTTATGGTATTAGGCAAAATGAAAATTTATATGTATCTTTTTGGTTGAAATGTGCCTGAAAGTGAAATTATGATTTTTCCGGGTTCTACTGTCTGATGGCTTGTGAATAGCCGATGGGATTGCTACGTTTTGATGGACTTTTTTGTAGAACATTATTAATCTTGTGCGTAGTCTTCTTTCTTGTAGTGTTGGCCAGTTTAATGAATTTATCATGTCTGTAGGACTACTGATGTTATGGTACCTGTTACAGACATATCTGGCAGCTCGTCGTTGGACCATCTCGATTTTAGAAGTTTGTTGAACTGTGTGATGGTCCCATACTGTACATGAATATTCCAGCCTTGGTCGAACTAGCCCCGATATGAATGAGTCTTGATGTTCTGACATGATGATGTTGTCTGTATGTCACTTTGACCATTTCTAGTTTGCATATCTTGTGTGGTGTAATGCCCAGATACTTAGCTGAAGAGACAAGTTCAAGTTTGTGATTGTGGAGGATATAGTATTGTTTAAAATTTTGTATACGCCCGTTTACGGGACGTATTATGGTATACCTCTGTCCGTCCGTTTGTCGGACAATAACTCAAAAACACTTTCACCTATTTTCATGAAACTTTGGTGAATTGTTTATATCTATTGACGTAAGCTCCCTTTCTATTTTTATAAATTTTAGATTGTACATTACCGAGTTATGGGATTTCATTCTTAAAAAATGGGGGATTTTCCAGTTTTCTTACTATAACTCAAAAATGCTTTGAACAATTTTCATTAAACTTTGGTGAATTGTTTATATATATTGACATAAGTTCTCTTTCGATTTTTGTTAATTTCTGATCATACGTTTTGGAGGATTGGGATTTTATTCATAAAAAAGGGGAGGTTTTCCTGTATTTCGGACAATAACTTTGACCTATAATCGTTTACTTTTAACACATTGTTACTTGGATGGAGAGTTGTCTCATTGGTTCTCATACCACATCTTCTTATTTCTAATAACTCAAAAACGCTTTTAGCAGTTATTATGAAACTTTGGTGACTTGTTTATATCTATTGGAATCAGCTCCCTTTTTTGTTATAAACTTCTGATATAACATTGTGGAGTTATGGAATTTTATTAGTTGAAAAATTGTCGAAAACTGTCTAGTTAGCGACGGGCGTACCATGCGCTCATGGCGCAGCTCTTTGTTTCTTTTGTGAGACTGTAAGGACTTGCATTTGTCTGGATGGAAAGCAATCAACTAGTCTTGCTCTCACCTAGCAGCTGCATAGATATATCTAACTGTAGTGCATCACAGTAGAAAAACTTAAGTAGGAAACAATTTTGCAACACGGTATAAATAGATATTATACCAGCAAGCATAGTAAATCTAGAGACATATATACACATGTATATATGTCTCTGGTAAAATTTAAACTAGAAGTAGGTTTCTTTACAGGTTATAATATTTGAATTTTATCATGCAGGGAAAGTTTGACAGTCTAATTAATTCAGAAGAAAATACTGTTTACATAAAAACTTTTATTTAGGCCATGTCCAGTTGTATTTGTAGTATTTGTATTTTTATCCATCTGATGAGTTAAGCCTCTTTCAACTGATTTTTATAGTTCGTTCTTATGTTGTACTGTTACACCACTGTCCCAGGTTAGGGGAGGGTTGGGATCCCGCTAACATGTTTAACCCCGCCACATTATGTATGTATGTGCCTGTCCCAAGTCAGGAGCCTGTAATTCAGTGGTTGTCGTTTGTTTATGTGTTACATATTTGTTTTTCGTTCATTTTTTTGTACATAAATTAGGCCGTTAGTTTTCTCGTTTGAATTGTTTTACATTGTCATTTCGGGGCCTTTTATAGCTGACTGTGCGGTATGGGCTTTGTTCATTGTTGAAGGCCGTACGGTGACCTATAATTGTTAATTTCTGTTTCATTTGGTCTCTTGTGGAGAGTTGTCTCATTGGCAATCATACCACATCTTCTTTTTTATATTTGCAGGTAGTCATATTAATATATACATATGTCAAGTTTATAATACAAATGCAATACCATGTGATCATAGATTATAACTGACAAATAAACTCTGAATTAAAGAACTACTAAGAAGCATCTTAATAAATATAAAGAATGAAGCATAACAAAATAAAAATTCTATGAGATACAAATGAAATGTAAATTTCATACCCGCCTCATACAAACCTATTCCACATTAAGGCCGGGAAAGGGAGGGAGAGTTTTTGAAAAATGAACAAACGACGAAACACAACGTTCATTAACAAATTAACTACGCTGATAGAAGTTTCAACGACAAACTAAGACATATTCAAACATAAAAAATTTAAATTATTAAAATGTTGACTACCTGTTTTCTGGTGTTTCTGAAAAGTGATGATCAGTAGCGAGTTCTACTTTTAAACTGAATTTGTTATCCAATATAAATTACTGTACTGCGTCTATCTATCTATCTTCATATTTCCGCACTCAGTCACAACTTTGACTATTACAGGCCGTTGCATGCGTGGCTTATTTACAATTTAAAAGAAATAAATTTTCAGTAATTTTACGTTACATTGCATTGGTGCATAGAAAACTAAAGTAAAAATATAACAGTGATTTAATAAATTTTTTTGTGGATTGTTATCCTATGTATATTTCATGGTAAAACTATGTACATGTTATGCAGTTTTTAGAATATTTGTGAAAGAGCAGATATAGAAATCTGCTCTTTGAAGCCGTCGACTGTTGTACAAAGGATTGCTGGTGTAGGAAGTAGGTTCCATTGTACTATTGTATGTGGATAAAATGAGAACTTGTAAGAATCTTTATTTGTTTGAATTTGTTTTAAGTGGTTGGTATGTTTATGTCTTGTTCTACTATCTGATTTAACGAGAAGATCTTTAGGGTAGATTGCTATGTGTTGATGTATGATCTTATAGAATACCACTAGTCTTTTGTTTGTATACGTCTCAATTCTAATGTAGGCCACTGTAAGTGATCAAGCATATTTGAGACTGAGCTGGTATTGTGATATCTATTACATGTATAGCGAGCAGCTTTTCGTTGGACCATCTCAATTTGATTGATTTGGTTTTTGATGTGAGGGTCCCAGACGCAAGAGCTGTACTCAAGCTTAGGTCTAACTAATGACATGTATGCCCTTTCTTTAATTTGTTTGGATGAAACTTTAAGGTTACGTTTTAGAAAATTAAGTTGTCGATTTGCATTAGCTGTTATATTATTTAGGTGTTTATTCCATTTGAGATCAGATTGGATGGTTATGCCTAAATATTTTGTAGCTGTTTCAGTTTGGAGAATGTGACCATGAAGGATGTAGTCATGGTTGACTGGTTTCTTTTTTGTGTAATTCTAAGTATGGAGCATTTGTCTGGGTGAAATGACATTAACCAGTCTTTTTCCCATTGTGCCGTTGAATTTAAATCCTGTTTGTGTTTGGATGCATCATCTATGTTTTTGATGTTTCTATAGATGATGCTGTCATCGGCAAATAACCTGAAGGTGCTGTGTTGTAAATATTCTGGGAAATCATTTATGTAAATGAGGAATAAGATTGGGCCGCAAGGCCTGACAGTGCCCTGTGGCACTCCAGATGTTACCCCAATTTTTTCTGATTGTTCTCCATCTAGCATGACTGTCTGTGTACGATGGTGTAAAAAATCACCAACCCATTCCAAGGTATTATTGTCTATGCCGTAGTATTTTAATTTGTAAAGTAATCACCAATAAAAAACGTGTTTAAATTAAATTAGAAGACAGTCCAAACTAAACCTTGACCATAGATGTGTTCACTGTTAAATAAAGTGAGACCAATTGTCCAATTACCAATTCACTTAATTATTTTTCCGATTCTTCAATAATTATTCATTTTTATTAAAATACAAACCATCTTACGGTTTGGACAAAATCAAAAGTTATTTATGCATTCCGACGGTCAAAATAAAGTCTTATATATCTTATTAATATGACAAGTTCGAACAAGAAAAAAAAAATACAAATTACAGGATTAGACTTTCATTTTCTTATTCCCCGCATTACCAAATGGTGGCTTTCTAATGAAGCAGTTTCATATTTTTGCCCCCCCCCTTTTTTTTCCCCCATTATATTTTTATAAACAGTTGTGTCCCTTCGCAAAAACTTCCGGAATTTTTCACAAAAGCGCTTTCGTGTTGTTAAAATTGTTAAACCTTGTTCATTTTCTGATTATTTAATTAAATATATTAAAATTTTGATATCATCACCAGAATGTTGTAAACAAAAAATGGAAAGAATACTGAAATGTTCTTTATTGTAATAAAGCGTTTCAATGATTTAGAGTGACCTAATTCTCCGCGGATATGGGTGTCGTGATGACCAATTGCCCTTATTTGATACGCCATCTTTAGGTTTACTGATGTAGTTCCTGTTGACAAAAAAGTTTGGAGACTCTCTTCCGGGTTATTTGAAGTACCATATTTATGTTTGTCGATAACTAAGTGAATCAGGCTGGATGAAAATGCAAAATACAAAGCCATAATACAGCGACAAACAGTTGGTTTGTCCAGTTGTTTCGCAACTCAGCGGTAGGAATAACAAAAATAGCTTGTTAAACTGTCACCTTTTTCGTGTGACTTTATTTGTTGCCAGAAGTCCTACATAATAAGGTTAGATTTTCTTGCCTCGTTATCAACATTGTTTAAACAAGTTTCTGTTGTATCTGAAGATATTTTGCATGGAAACCTATTTGTTTACATTGTAAAAACTCATTTCCTGGTTAGCCAATTCTGTATTCCTACCCAACATGGCAACAAATCTACCCTCTTATCTCAGGAAAAGTGCATACAACATTTCTACAGCAATGGACGTAATTACACTTGTTTGTAAATTTGTCCCCATTACTTAAAACCATGCAAGTTCCCGTAAAACTTTGCATCACAATTCAAAACATGAACCACTTTTGAATTTTTACACTTTCCCGTAATTTTCCTATGTCACAATGCTTATGTTATATTTACGTCTCAGTAAGAACCGATTGTTCTATGACATTGTTTATGCTGATTCACCCAGTGTAACTCATTCTTTAAAAGCATCTCAAGTTGGTGTATTTGACGTCACGATTAAAAATTGATTTTTGTTTGTATGACGTCACAAAGCTATTCAGAGACCAATCAAGAATCATTCATAGACAAAATTCAGCTGTTTACCAACTGTGTTAACAGTCAAACTTCCTACAGTTTTGTATGATATGCTAGTTCTAGCCCAAATCATTCCAGTCCCAGACGAATGACGATATAGCCCAAATTTAAATTCGGTTTGGCCCCTCTTATGAAAAATACAAGGAATAAAATATATATGACTTTTTCAGTATATGGATATTAAACTGCACTTTGTAAGAAAACAAAGAAATATTGATCATGTTGATGCCAACGTTAAATATGTTAATACTGTGATACAAATAGACAGGAAATATGGAAAAAAAATTGAAAAACATTGATTAACAAAATTTTAATCTGCTAACAGAATCCCTGTGGATCAGTGACCATCAATACTGTTTTCTAAAAATATTCCACTGATCATTTGCTAAATTTACTCAACTTATTCATGTGCAAATTGCCATTTACCCTAAATCAAATACTTCACAAAACTCTCCGACTTGTATATATATAATCTGTGCCAAAAAACTTTTGAAGCACTTGCCCAATCAAAAAATGTTATCTTTTTTCTCTAGGTCAAATAAAAAATTCTCCTTTCCTCCAAAAAAAATTCAGATAGTGTTTTTGCCAAAAAAATCCTTTTTTTCTATAAACTTGTATCATTTCAAGTAAAAAGACTCGGCCAAAAAAAAACAACACATTTTTAGCATTAGTAAAGTATTATTCAACTAGAGGGATTGTTACTTTTTTGGGGGAAAATTCCCTAATTGGTGGGTGTCTCCAACCTGTTTATTCCTCATATTCTTTCATATTTTTATTAGTCTTAAATATTAAAACTATAAGTTAATTCTCTGGCACTTCATTAGGTTCTGGATGGGGGTCCTTCATTTCTGTACTCCTTAATTTTTTATGCCATTTTTCCCTATTCTTTATATTTTAACACCTCATTTTTCTCTCTTGTTTATTTTTTTTTGTCCATTTTTCTCTAAAAATATTCTTTTTGTTTTTTGCCCATTATCATGATTATTCTCTATTCTGTAAAACCCCATCCACACCCTCCTTCATAATTTGCCACTTTCGTTAATGTTGTTTAAAAATGCATAGATAGTTTTTCTGCATAGCTTTTTTCAACTGGAAACTTCTCTGGGTATTCGTGTAGGCCTTTTCAACTTTTCAATGTTTAACCTGGGATGGCCCTCTGTTTTCATTTCAGCATCGAATGAGATCGAATCCTTGATTGTTAAAGTGAATCCTAATCAATTCCTGGTATAATTAATGCTTCCATCAAGTTGACCATGCTGAGACGAATGTATGGAATTATAGAATATTAAATTTGGATCAACAGTATTTGTAGATTTTTATGTTTAGTTTAGTCTGTTTTGATGGAGAGTACTGGAGACATGAGCATTAAAGTATATTATTTTTGGAAGAAAAAAATAAGTCGAAAGCAATAATGGCACAGAGCATGCTGGGTTTGTGTGGTCTTCTTTCATTGTAATTCAAGTTATCCTTTTATGTATTTTCTTCCACCTCAGAGCTATCAGCTCTTTGATTATCAGAGTTCTGGAAATTATTTTACTGTCCTGTTACAATGACACCTTGCATTTGTTTACACCCCTAAACTACTTTAAACATGTTAAAATGTAAAAGGGAGGTGTGTATTATATAATTACTTAAACCTTAGCAATGGCTAAAAGAACCTGTAATTAAAACAAATGTCATCCTTTTAATTTTATGATTCACCAGAATTAGTTTAATAACTTGATTGAATAATTGCTTAATTTGGGTGTAGGCATTTCTGTTTCTAAAACACAAGACTTATATGCCTTAATAATGATGAAAGAGAAATGCTGTTGCCTTTGTGAGTAAGAACTTCTAAAAAAGTTTTAGATTACAATCCTGTGTTCTATGGAAGGATTACATTTTCAGTGAACATGATATCATTGAAATTATTACCATTTATGTAAGACATACATGTATTCCCATGTCAATCATGTCAGTGATCAACAATTTTACAAAGAAATTGAAGAGAAACTTGAATTCATATTATCATGATCATTATATATATATGATTGCTGGAAGATTGTTGGATTTTTCTGTATAAGTTTGCTATGAAAAAGCAGGTTGTACATTTCTGAAAGGGACCACTATCCTCCTCAGTAATCTGTAAGTACTTTCACTAGTTCATACCTTCATCATAACAGTTATGATCAGATTTTGAATTTGAAGTGGTCATTGTGATTGTATTATCAATAAAAGATATGAGTTTAATTCACATTTACAGAAATGATCATTTGATAGTCTTCCTGTAAGTCAGGAATCTGTGATTCAGTGGTTGTCGTTTGTTGATGTGTAACATATTTGTTTTTCATTCATTATCTTGTACATAAATTAGGCCGTTAGTTTATTCGTTTGAATTGTTTAACATTTGTCATTTCAAGGCCTTTTATAGCTGACTATGCGGTATGGGCTTTGCTCATTGTTGAAGGCCGTAAGGTGACCTATAGCTGTTGATTTCTGTGTCATTTGGTCTATTGTGGAGAGTTGTCTCATTGGAAATCATTAAGTACTTTTATTGTCTGTTGGGATATAATTGACACATACATATGTTTTTGCAGGTGTTAATCACTACTTCAATATTTTTGACAAACAATAGATGGGCTTGGGTATTAAAATTAAATTGTCTTAATTGCAATATCAATCAAGTTATCAGTAGTTTATTTTCATAATGTATATAATTGTTTGAAATAACTACCGGGTACATGTATAGTTAGAAAGCACATATTAAATTATTTATGGAAAACAAAATTTATACAAATTGTAAAAAAAAAATTCATTAAAGGGGCATTAGCTACCAGATATGAAAAAAAATAGAATATGATTTTTTTTGTTCAATCATTAACAAAATAATAATTCGCTTTTAGCAGCCAATATGGTTCAATTTTGTCAAAATAAGCAAATAAACATCGCTGGTGAATTATTCACTTGCAAGTGAATAATTCGACCTCATTGGACCTTCAATTTAACCCATTAGCTAGACATTGGTTACGCATGTATAAGTCGTGTTCAGCCATGAAATGATAGATTATATAGGGATACAATTTAATCTTCTCACTGTTGGAATCACCTTCTTAGTGAGAATCCTGATATATTATCAAGTACATGCATTATTAACTGTTTATTTCAGATTTATTGCAATTTGGATATACATTTTAGTATGTTATAAATCAAATATGAGAATTTGAGTAAAATCAGTGAACATGAATTTGACAGCTAATGCCCCTTTTATAATTTAGTAGGCTCATTTATGTTGATCATCAAAGACAAAATTGGAACTAAATTCCCTTAGTGTTCTATGCTACTGAATTTTTCTGTAGTTATAGCAAAATATTGTATAAACTTAAATTGGAGTTAATATCAGAAGTATTCCATCGGGGAACATAAAATGCTTTCAATGGATATTCTTTTATCACAAGGACTCTGTCTCACAATGAATCATTTGGAATACGAAATTCCTTTAGGGAACTGCTTACAAAATAAATCACACATTTCCACTCTACATGCCCAACTTGGTTATACTAAACTTGTTATATGGAAGATATGATCAATCATAATGAATACTAGTTTAATTATTCTTTTCATTCATACTTAACATCGTATTTTTATATTGTATATCAAAAACTATTTTCATATACAAAATTTTTAATCCGCAAGTAATCATATGAATGTAATCTTAAAGTAATCTAAAAGTAATCATGATTACACCTGATTTTTACATTATAACCGATTAAATTACGATTACTTGTAATCAGAAATAGCATGATTACTGGTTACATGTTATTACATTGCAAAATGTAATTGATTACAGCTGAATACGATTACTGATTACGATTACCCCATGCCTGATAGTAGTTCAATGGTTGTCGTTGGTTCATGTATGTCATAATTGTTTTTATGCCCCAGCGACAAAATGTCGAGGGGCATATTAATTTACCCTGTCTGTTTGTCTGTCCGTCTGTCCGGATAAGGATACATTGTTTGTCAGTCTATCTCCTCCTACAGTTTTGAAGGTACAACTTTAACATTTTGTAGGATGTTCATACAAATAATGAAAGTGTGCATGGCCACAGGATTTTAATTTTTATGCCCCCGCCATAGCGGAGGGGGCATTAAGTTTTACCCTTGTCTGTTTGTACATCCGTACGTCCGTCTGTACATCCCGAAACTTATACACAATGCTTATTACCACAAAACACAGATCAAGTTTGAATTTGGGTTGCGTCACTTTACTGTTCTAGAGTTATGCCCCTTTACAAATGGAAAAATTGCTTAATTTTTTTTGTTTTTGTTCTCTAACTTTAGTTTGCTTCAACCAAAAAAGACATGAGGTATCAATTGAAGTCAACTCGTGTTCCCCTGTCTGCCTTATGGAATGATAAAAAGTTACTTTTCAATGAGAAAACAACACATAAAGACAAGGCAATATACTTTTTAATGACAGTGAGTACAAG